TTTTTCAACATTCGCGAGGCTCTTGATCCCCTAACCCTCGTGAATGTTGAGGGAGACCTGTACTATACATGGGTAAAGGTGAGAAATATACCTTTTGAGGCGACTGCGTATGGCATACAAGAGGCATTCAACAGTTATGGAAAAGTCCATTCTGCTGCTATGGGAGTATGGAAAGATGGGCCATATGAGGGGCTGCCGGAGGGCTCCTATGCCCTCAAAATGACTGGCTGGGCCTATACCCTCCTACATCACGTTGGTGGGTTACAGGACTCGAGTCTTCATGCACTATGCCTGCCAGAAAAGGACCTGCCGCTTGTGTAGCTCTTACGATTATATTGCGGCACAGTATCCTAGGAGACAGGCCCCCAGGGAACCCGGGATGTCGGCTGTGGAGCAGCATCCTTGTGAGTTGGTGTCCTAGTTGGGAGATGAGGAAGCAAGGACGATTGGTCATTGGAGTGAGGAGGTTGAGCGAGAGGAGCAGACGGCCGAGACCTGTCACACTCCCGGAGGGGTCAGGGGAGTCGACAGGGATGTTGGTGACTCCGCCGAGAAGGAACGAAGTGCCTCAGGAGGACTTACTGGAGGACGTGTTGAAAGGTTTTCTGGATGGGTCAGGGACCTGTGCCTTAAGTGTTGGTGAGACCGATGTGATGGAGGAACAGCAGCCTGTGGTAAGGACCTCGTGTGGGACTTGCTTGGAGCAAGTGGTGTAGGTCCATCAGGAGAATTCGCCAGACGTGGACATGTGTGTGGGTGGCGGCTCTAAGAAAAGGACGGCTGGCACGGCTGAGGTCAAGGAGGTTCTCACGCCAGGGCAGAGGCCTGGGGAAAAAAAGCTTGGGCAACGGTGGAGCAGTTGTTGGACCGGAAGGATCCAGTGGAGACAGAGTTACGCAGTGAAAGGGGCAGGGGGTCCAGGGAAAGTCTGAGGTTCGGGTCGACGGACTGGTAAAGGTGTGGTAGGCAAGCCACAGCGGCATAGAGGGAAGCCGCCGTTCATATAACTTTCGGGTGTGTCACCCTTAAACTGTCCAAACAAATTTACATTCACACGTGTAGTGCTCCAAAAGTAGATCTACATTTTTTTAAATATTTTCAAATATAAAAAAAAAAAAAAAGTAGATCTAAGTTTTTTACACGTTTTCAAATGTAAAAAAAAGAAAAGATCTATGTTGTTTTACATACTTTAAAATGTTGAACAAAATGTAGATCTATGTTTGGACAGTTTAAGGGTTAATGTGAGCGGTCTCAGGTCTGAGATCAAAACTGTGTGGTTGGTTTGGTTTTTACATAGATTCAAGGTGGATGTGTGTTTCTTGTAGGAACACAATTATAAGTTCGGCAGTGAGTTGCTGTTGCATGGGTATAAGTTGTACATTAGTTGTGCTTGGCAGTTGAAAGGGGGGGGTGGCGATAGCGATAAAGGAGACCAGCCCCTTGCGTGTCATGAGTTGGGAGGAGGGGGGGGAGGGTTGTGCGGGTCAATGGTGTATGGGGTGAGAGAAGGGCATGCTTTATAGGAGTGTATATGCCGGCGTCGAGCAATATGCGGGTGAAGGCGGATTTTGTGAGGGATGAATTATTGTATCATCTGCTGGGATTGCCGGCCATCACGATATAGGTGGGGATTGGAATTGTGTGATACATGGCCGGGATGTGGAACTGAGGGGGGCAGGTTGTGTTTTAAGTGTTCTGAGGGATGTGTTGAGGGACGTGGGAGTCGTAGATGTTGTGGGGGGGAGGTTTTATGGTGGAGCACACGTTCGTTCATCTGGGGTATGCAGCGAGACTAGACAGAATTTTTGTCATACAGGGGTTGAAGGTGGGGAGGGTGCAGACATTTGACGTGGGTTTCTCAGATCATAGGGTGGTGATAGATCTGTCATGGGAGGGTGCTGTGCATATTTACCCTGGTTACTGGAAGTTGAATGTGCGTCTGCTTAGGGGGGAGGGTGGGGGTACGGGGTTTGAGGAGTGGTGGTCAAGGTTTTGGGATGCAAGGGATCGGGCAATGGAGCTTCTAGACTGGTGGGAGTTGAGGGTGAAACCGGGGATTGCGGATTTTTATAGGGTTAAGGGACGTGAGGAAGCAAGATGGAGATATGGATTGCAGAATTATTTGGAGGGACAATTGCAGGCCTGTTACAGGAGGGGGCGGTGAGGGAGGGGAGGATATTGCACTTCTTCGAGGTAGGATTGCAGATATTCATAACGAACGTTTTGACACTGTACATTTTTGATCTGGGTTGGAGGATGTGTTGTGGGGAGGTAAACCAACTGGGTATGTCTTGCATAAGTTTAGGGAACGTAGGAAGGCGACAACGTTATTGCAGTTAGTGACTAGCGCGAGGGTGGGGGGATACCCGGACGGCGCTGTCCTTGTCTCCACGGAGAGTATGAGCGTTTATGCCGATGAATGGTTCAGGGGTGGGGTTGGAGGCTGACATTAGTGAAGCTGAGGTGGCGGATGCGGTCTTCGGCATGAGCACGGGTAAAGCGCCAGGGATTGATGGTTTGCTTATTGATTTTTACAGGGCTCATTGGGGGTGCATGAGGCATTACTTTGCTGGGGTTTTGAACAGTATGCTAGGTGGTGGGAGGATGGGCGAGTCACAATGTACGGGTATTAGTACCGAAGGAGGGGGCGCAGGCGCCGAGTGCTTCCCGGGCAATTTCCTTGATGTGCGTGGATTATAAGGTGTTTGCGAAGATTCTAGGTAATAGGTTGAAGGGGGTCCTGGGGTCGGTTTTAGACTGGAGTCAGTTCGGAATTCCAGGGAGGAGTATGTGGGAAGGACACGGGTGCATCAGGGATTTCTTAGAGGGTTGTGGAGGGGAGGGGTTGTTGGGTTGGATTGGGAGAATGCGTATGATTGTGTGGACAGTGTGTTTTTGCGTGAGAGCTTGAGTGGTTTGGGCTTTGGTGCCAAGGTGGTAGGGTGGGTGGATGCCTTGTATGCGGGAGCGAAGATGCGGGTGCAGGTGAATGGTAGGTTGGGTGGTAAGATTAGTATGGAGAGGGGTTTGCGGCAGGGATGCCCGCTTTCCCAACTTTTGTTTGCATGTGTACAGAATCCGCTTTATGAGCTTGTAGACTGAGAGTTGTGTGGTGAGGGGAATGGGGGAGGGTTGTGGGTTACGTTGATAATACGATGATCTTATTTAGTGGAAAGGAGGTTTTTTCGAGTGTGAGTGGAGTCATCGAGAGGTTTGGGGCCGTAACGGGGATGAGGGTTAACAAAGCAAGTTGATGTTGTTAGAGGTGGGCACTTGGGTGGGCAGGAGGTTGGGTCGGGGGTTTGGATGAAACGTGGAAAGGATCAAGATTTGTGGGGTTTGGTATATGGCGGACATGCAGGACAGTAGAAAGGTTAATTCGGAGGCGGTTAGGGACACGGCGGTGGGCAGGCTACGTGGTCTTCGGGCCAGAGACGTCACGTTGCACCAAAGGGCAGTGGTTGTGAATTCGCTTGTGTACAGTAAGGTTTGGGGGGCGGCGGCAGTATACCCTTTGAGGAATTGTGATGAAATAGAAATCCAGAGGAGGGTGTTAAGGTATCTATGGGGTTACGGGAGGGCATGGTTGGGACGAGACGTGGTAATGACCGGGGTGCGTCAGGGGGGGATTGGGTTTGTTGGCATTGGGGCCCAGGATGAGGGCGATTTACGTTAAGATACGATACCTCAGAGGGAGGGGTCAGGGGTCGTCGTGTGGGGGAGGTGATGAGGGACGTCTGTTGTTGGGGGAGTGGGTGGGACCTGGAGGTGTGTGAGGACATGTTGAGGTATATGTTAAGAGTTCATGATGTACGTCGTTTGAGAATAGGGAGGATAATGGGAGTGGAGTATCGTCGGGAGATGCTGCAGGGGGTGGCTGTCTTCCCCACATAAGAATGGAAGGTAATATGGGAGGAATTTCGAAAGCTAAGAATACCTGCCAGGGTGAGAGAAGTGGTGTACAGATTCCTCACGGGAACATTGGCGTCAAAAGAGGTGTTGAGGCAGATGGGATATGTGAGAGATGCATCTTGTGCGCATTGTGGGGATGTGGAAACAGCGTTCCATGCTGTGTATTGTTGTCCTTTTTTTGGAAAATGTAAGATTGTGGTTGAGGGGTGTTTTTGGGATATTGGGGGGGGGGGAAGGGAAGGGAGAGTCCTCAGGGCTTTACTTTTAGATGTGGGAGGGGCGTCATGTGAGGTAGCGAGGGCATTAAGGTATATTATGGTTGATTTTTTTGTATGTTTCTTGGGGTATGAGGGAGGTGGGGGGTAATGCCACAATCAAGGTGTTAGTGGCGAGTTTCTATAGGTCGATGGGTAGGAATAGAAGCTTATGTGGGGGTCAGTGGGTTACTTCTTTTCCAGAGAGTTATTGATACATTGTACAGTATTTGATGACATTACATCTCATTAGAAAAATCTCACCAGATATGTTGGCCACTAGAAATGCACATGTCGAGACTGCATCGATTAGACAACACTGAACCTAAATAAAAATCTATTAGTTGAGTTTTCATATACATAAAACTGAATTTTCATGTTATCATTCTGTTGTAGAAAATAATTTGAAATTAGAGAAGGACTTTGTGGACACCTGTATTATGTGATCAAGCATAATGGGTGAGAATTATTTGGTTGATTCCTTTATTAATTGTTTAACATTATTTACTTCCAAAATTTGTTAGATTTTTAACAACCCATTGTTTTGCTATTAAAAATAGATACTGTATTAAAGTCGCATCATTTTAATAATGGTCTTATTTGTGGTTAAATTTATATAGTATTTAAAGTAAAAAACTATGATAAGTAAGCTCACACGATGTATTGAGAAATTGACAGTGGGATGATGTAACAAATGAACGTAGGTTGATATATAGGGTGTCCAGTCTTTTTCCAGATTCAAAAAATATTACACATACTGTATATGGTAAGACATGAAATGCAGTTTTCTGCATTTGATAGCTGAATTAATAAGATTTTTGTTGTGGTTTACAGGTTGTAATTAGAATGGCCAGTTAATAAAGAAAAGATATTTGAATGAAGATGGCATCTTTACAACATAAAGCTCAGTGTGTCATTTGGTATGGAGCATCAAAATCTGTGCCAACTGTTCAGCGTAAATACCAACAGAAATATGGAAAGCCTCCTCCATCCCAAGCAAGCATTAAATCATGGTTCCGCAAGTTCAAGGACACGGGAAGCCTGTCAAAATTCCCTCGAAGTGCTCGGCCAAGGATTACCAGGGACACTGTTGTTAGGATCTATGAGATATTCCGGCGTGATCCACTGACGTCTGTCTGTGGTGCTGCACGTGAACTTAAGTTACCGGAATCAACAGTGCGACAAGTTATAAGCTCAGACTTCGAACTTCACCATTACAAAGTATGTTTCTACACAATGTAACATTCTCAGCACAGTGTGGGTCCTATACAGTTGTCCATCCATATATTTCTTCTCTGTGTGATTTCCTTTCTTGTATTGAGGTAACACTTTCCTGTCCTTTGATATACATTTAACCAGTTTTGAGAGTTTGTCTGTCCTCATAGCCTGGTAGGGGGCCAGGCTTCTCTGTTGCTTGCCTGTTCAGCCAGGCTGTTGCTCCTTGCAGCTCAGTGGCCCACTTATTCATCACAGCCTTGTTAATCTGTGACTTGGTGGAGATAGGTATCCAGTTACCTCTTGAAAACTTGTGCGTGTTTTATGACAATATATGTGACAGCTGCTGACAGCAAGTTTACCTGGAGTCTGTGTGGAAGATGTTCTGGGGATCAACTCTTCCACAGCCAGGTTCGTGACCAGGCCTCTGGGTGGATCAGGGCCTGTCAACTAGGCTGTTACTGCTGGCTGCACATAGTCCAATGTACGAACTGTGCAGTCAGTATGAGAGTATTGTGGTGCCAATACACTTACATGGGTGTGAAGCATGGGTTAAGTCAGTCACCTATTTGCACAGAACTGCTAATACCTCAAATGATGTAGTTGAAGTTTTAGCAGTAAAGATCGAGAACCAAAATCTGGTCATTGTAGTAGTTTAAAAGCCTCCGGATGCAACGTCCCAACAATTCCAGGAACAGCTGTTGAAAATTGATCACTGTCTGGAAGATCTTCTAGCTCCTGCCCCCAACATTGTGCTCCTGGAGGATTTCAACTTATGGCACCTAAAATGGAGGAATATAGCAAATAATGTTGCAGTGATAACACCAGGAGGCAGCTCAGATAAAAACTCGCATACACACGAGCTTTTAAATCTCTGCACAAAATTCACCTTACACCAGCTGTCCATTGGATTGGAGAATACACTGGACCTCATCTTCACTAACAATGATGATCTGATATGAAATGTCGCCATATCAAAAACAATATACTCAGACCACAACATAATCGAGGTTCAGACATGTATGCGCGGAGCCCCAGACCGACAAAATGTGATCAGTCACAAGGGAGCCTTCACCATATTCAACTTAATAACAAGAACATAAAGTGGGACCAAGTAAATGAAGTCCTAAATGATATAAGCTGGGAAGATAGCCTAAGCAACACAGACCCCAACTTATGCCTAGAACAGATTAACTCTGTGGCACTCGATGTATGCTCAAGGCATATTCCTTTAAGAAAAAGGAGAAGTAGATGTAAAATAGAAAGAGACAGGCGCTCCCTTTACAGGTGAAGGAAAAGAATAACAGTGTGGCTAAAAGAGGTCAATATATCTGCAATGCGTAGGGAGACACTGGTCAGAGAAATAGCAAACATCGAGCTAAAGCTAAAGGAATCTTACAGGAGTCAGGAATTGTGGGAAGAACTGAAAGCCATAAATGAAATCGAAAGAAACCCAAAGTATTTCTTTTCTTATGCCAAATCAAAGTCAAGAACAGCATCCAGCATTGGGTCCCTACTTAAACAAGATGGGTCCTACACAGATGACAGCAAGGAAATGAGTGAGCTACATAAGTCCCAATATGACTGTTTTTAGCAAGCCGCCAACCAGACCGAGGTCGAAGATCTAAATTAATTTTTTATGAGAGCGCCACAGAATTTGGTGAACACAAGCCTCTCTGACATTATTCTGACACCAAATGACTTCGAACAGGCAATAAATGACATGCCCGTGCACTCTGCCCCAGGGCCAGACTCGTGGAGCTCCGTGTTCATCAGGAACTGCAAGAAGCCCCTGTCAGGTGCTTTAAACATCCTATGGAGAGGGAGCATGGACACTGGGGTCATCCCACAGTTATTAAAAACAACAGACATAGCCCCACTCTACAAAGGGGGCAGTAAAGCAATAGCAAAGAACTACAGACCGATAGCACTACCATCCCATATCGTGAAAATCTTTGAGAGGGTTCTAAGAAGCAGGATCACCACCTATCTAGATACCCATCAGTTACACAACCCAGGGCAGCATGGGTTTAGAGCAGGTCACTCCTGCCTGTCCCAACTACTGGATCACTACGACAAGGTTCTGGATGCACTAGAAGACAAAAAGAACGCAGATGAAATATACACAGACTTTGCAAAAGCCTTCGACAAGTATGACCATGGCGTAATTGCGCCCAAAATGCATGCTAAAGGTATAACAGAAAAGTTGGTTGATAGATCTATAATTTCCTGACAAACAGAACAGAAAGAGTAGTAGTCAACAGAGTAAAGTCTGAGGCGGCTACGGTGAAAAGTTCTGTTCCACAAGGCACAGTACTCGCTCCCATCTTGTTCCTCATCCTCATATCTGACATAGGGATATAAGCCACAGAGCTGTGTCTTCCTTTGCAGATGACGCTCGAATCTGCATGACAGTGTCTTCCACTGAAGACACTACAAGGCTCCAGGCGGACATCAACCAGATCTTTCAATGGGCTGCAGAAAACAATAAAGTTCAATTACTCTGATATGGTAAACTTGAGGAAATTAAAACTGCATCAGAGTATAAAACAAATTCCAACCACGCAATAGAGCGAAAAACTAACGTCGAAGACCTGGGAGCGATCATGTCAGAAGATCTCGCCTTAAAAGACCATAACATTGTATCAATCACATCTGCTAGAAAAATGACAGGATGGATAATGAGAACCTTCAAAACTAGGGATGCCAAGCCCTTGATGACACTTAAGGTCGCTTATTCTATCTAGGCTGGAATATTGCAATATTGCTGCACACTAACAGCACTTTTCAAGATAGGTGAAATTGCTGACCTAGAAAATGTACAGAGAACTTTCACGGCACACACAACTGCGATAAAAACTCCTCAGTTACTGGGAACACTTGAAGTTCCTCAACCTGTACTCCCTAGAATGTAGGCGGGAGAGATGCATGATCATATACTCTTGGAAAATTCTAGAGGGATTTGTACCAAATTTGCACATGAAAATCACTCCTTATGAAAGCAAAAGACTGGCAGACAATGCAACATCCCCCCAGTGAAAAGCAGGGGTGTCACTAGCGTGATAAGAGACAGCAAAATAAGTGTCAGGGGCCCAAGGCTGTTCAACTGTCTCCCAGCATACATAAGGGGGACTACCAATAGACCCCTGGCTGTCTTCAAGCAGGCACTGGACAAGCACCTAAAGTCGGTACCTCAACAGCCGGGCTGTGGTTCTTACGTTGGATAGCGTGCAGCCAGCAGTAGCAGCCTGGTTGATCAAGCCCTGATCCACCATGAGGCCTGGTCACAGACCGGGCCGCAGGGGCGTTGACCCCTGGAATTCTCTCCAGGTAAACTTCAGGTAAGGAGGCTGGAGGCAGTGGAGATGTCATGTCTGGGGCCAATGTGTGTATTGTAAATATTATGGAGAGAATTAATAGCTTGGAGATTAGGAGGGCTGAAGAGGGGTTGTTGAAGTGGTTTGGACATTCAGAAAGGATGGAACGGAGTAGAATGTCTTGGAGAGCATATGAATGTGCAATGGAGGGAAGACAGGATAGGGTCATCCTAGGAAAGGTTGGAGGGAGGGGGTAAAGGAGGTTTTGTGGTGTGTGTGTGTGTGTGTGTGTGTACTCACCTATTTGTACTCGCCTATTTGTGGTTGCAGGGGTCGATTCATAGCTCCTGGCCCTGCCTCTTCACTGATTGCTACTAGGTCCTCTCTCTCCCTGCTCCATGAGCTTTATCGTACCTCGCCTTAAAACTATGTATGGTTCCCGCCTCCACTACTTCACTTTCTAGGCTATTCCACGGCTTGACTACTCTATGACTGAAGAAATACTTCCTAACATCCCTTTGATTCATCTGAGTCTTCAACTTCCAATTGTGACCTCTTGTGTCTGTGTCCCATCTGTGGAACATCCTGTCTTTGTCCACCTTGTCTATTCCGTGCAGTATTTTGTATGTCATCATGTCTCCCCTGACCCTCCTGGCCTCCAGTGTCATCAGGCCAATTTCCCTCAACCTTTCTTCGTAGGACAATCCCCGTAGCTCTGGGACTAGTCTTGTTGCAAACCTTTGCACTTTCTCTAATTTCTTGACATGCTTGACTAGGTGTGGATTCCAAACTGGTGCTGCATACTCCAGTATGGGCCTGACGTAAATGGTATACAGAGTCTTGAACGACTCCTTACTGAGGTATCGGAACGCTATCCGTAGGTTTGCCAGGCGCCCGTATGCTGCAGCAGTTATCTGATTGATGTGGGCCTCAGGAGATATGCTCGGTGTTATACTCACCCCCAGATCTTTTTCCTTGAGTGAGGTTTGCAGACTTGGGCCATCTAAACTATATTGTGTCTGCGGTCTTCTTTGCCCTTCCCCAATCTTCATGACTTTGCATTTACCGGGGTTAAACTCAAGGAGCCAGTTGCTGGACCAGGCTTGTAGCCTGTCCAGGTCTCTTTGTAGTCCTGCCTGATCCTCATCCGATTTGATTCTTCTCATTAACTTCACATCGTCCGCAAACAAGGACACTTCTGAGTCTATCCCTTCCGTTATGTCATTCAAATATACCAAGAACAGCACAGGTCCAAGGACTCACCCCTGTGGAACCCCGCTTGTCACAGACGCCCACTTTGACACCTCGTCACGTACCATGACTCGTTGTTGCCTCCCTGTAAGGTATTCTCTTATCCATTGCAGTGCCTTTCCTGTTATGTGTGCCTGATCCTCTAGCTTTTGCAGTAACCTCTTGTGAGGAACTGTGTCGAAGGCCTTCTTGCAGTCCAAAAAAATGCAGTCGATCCACCCCTCTCTCTCTTGTCTTACTTCTGTCACCTTGTCATAAAACTCTAATAGGTTTGTGACACAGGATTTTCCCTCCCTGAAACCATGCTGGTTGTCAATTATACACTTGTTTCTTTCCAGGTGCTCCACCACTCTCCTCCTGATGATCTTCTCCATGACCTTGCATACTATACACGTTAGTGATACAGGTCTGTAGTTTAGTGCCTCATGTCTGTCTCCC